GGAGGGAGCGAGCGGCGCGGCGGCGGCGCGGAGCGGGCGAGGCGGCAGGCAAGGCGGGCGGCGGCTCTTTTGTCCGGCCGGGGCGGGAAGTTCAAACGGGCGTCTGCGGCGGCTCCCCACCTCGGGCGCTGCCTGCCTGCCGGCCCGGGGCGGCGAGGGGCAGCGGGCGCGTGGCGGGGCCGGGGCGGACGGGCTCTCGCTAAATCGGAGGTTTGCCTTGGAGATCAATCTTGGCAAGGCGAAGTAGGAGACTGAAACGCAGCCTAAAGATCCGGGCGCAGGCGGGGCTGGCAAGGCGGTCCCAAGACCGGCGCCGGCTTCTGCCCGTGGGCGGGTCGGGGGCCCGGGGCTCGCTGGCGGGCCTTCCGGCCACCCTCCCTGGGGGCCGCGGGCGCCGTGCGGGACGGCGAGGCGCCGGGTGCCCTGGCACCTGAGCCGGCAGGTGGAGCCGCCCGGGGCGCGCAGGGGCGCCTGGCCCGGTGGCCCGCGCCAGGCTGCAGGCCTGAGGGCTTCCGCCCGCCCCGCAAGAGGGGCCGCGACGGGCCCGGAGCCCTGGCCCGGCAGAGGCACCGCCGGCGGGGCGGAGGGCTGCCCGGGAGGCGCGGCCCCCCCGGCCGCGCCCCCCTCGCTCCGCGCGACCTTCGCGGGTTGCGGCCTCCGCCTCTGCGGGGAGCCCCGCGGGCCCTGCGGGGAGGGGCGCTGGCGGGGCGGGCGCTTCGCCTCGAGGGCGCGGCAGCCTTCGCGGCCGGTCAAGGTCCTCGAGGGCCCCGCGCGGCTCCCATAGCAGGGCGGCGAGCCGCGCGGGACGGAGGCACGTGGACCGCGGCCCCCCGTCGTCTGCCGGGCCTGCGGAGCCGAGGCGGGGAGCCGGCTCGGTGCCCGGCCTGCCCTCGGGCCTGGCGGGAGGGGAAGCCGGCTCCCGGCGGAGGTCCCTGCCGGGGCGGGGGCGGGCCGTGCGCCGCCCGGTGCCGGCGCAGTTGCAGGCGAGCGAGCCCTCGCCCCGCCGCCCAGGCCCAGCACCGACAGCCCTGCAGCGCGGGGGCGGGGGGCTCCGGGCCTCCCTCAGTCCAGCCCCGCAGCGGAAGTGCTGCAGGCGAGGAGGGAGCCCGGCCCGGGGGCCAGGTCGCCCCCTCCGGAGCCCCCCCACGAGCCGCTTCCCCGCCTCTCTCCCTGCCCCTCCAGGTGGCTGCGATGCTGCCGACCACAGCGGAGAGGCGGGTCGCCTCGTCTGTCTTCATCACCCTCGCCCCCCCGAAGCGGGACCCTCTCGCCGCAGGCAGACCCGGGGCCCAGAAGGCCCCCCCTCAGCCCAGCAGCCATCTTCCGAAGGAGGCGCCGAAGCCGACAGATCCCAGCCGGGCCCCGGGCCCCGTATCCGCGGGAGCCGTCCGAGGGGGTGCGGGAAGTGGGCGGGGAGGCCCTGGCGTGCCCAACGGAGGTGAGCGGAGGGGGGGGAAGGGGATGGGGAATGGATCTGCGTGCCGGCCAGAGGCCAGCCAGGGAGTGCCGACCTTGGCCGTCCATTTCACTGGAGTGCCACCCCAGGTTCGGCCCGGGACTGACTGTCGTGTTAAAATGCACATCCAAGTTTCTAACTCTCAAGACAAAAGCTGCTCCTTGCCTGTTTCAGGTTGCTCTGCCCTGCCGCCGCCACCTCCTGTCGCCTTGCCTAGTGATTCCCTGGAAAATGACCCGGATGGCCTCTCTTTCCTGCCTCCCCCTCCACCTCCTCCACCTCCCTCATACTCCAGTCCCTTCTCAGTGGAGATACGTGCTCCTGATTTCCAGCAGCAAGCAGAAGTTCTGCCCGGATCCCTTCAGGTAAGTGCATGGATGCTTTTAGCGGCCTTGCAGGCAGCTGCCTTCAGCATGTTTTTAGGATGCTCTTCAAACTCTTGTATCTTGAACCCATCGGCTTCTTTTGCTCCACAATCAGAGAGAAACCCCCCAAGAGCTGTTGCTAGAGCAGAACCCATCAGTGGTGCCAAGAGAGTGTTCATGGGTGGTGAGTTGGAAGCAGAGTTAAAGCGGGGGGTGCGCACAGACGCTGACCCAGGATCGTGGCCCGGCAAAGTATCCCGCTTTGTCCACCCCTAAGTAGGCCTGTTTAGCAAAGGCCCCCAGTTCCACTAAAGATTCCCTGCTCTGCTTTTCAAAGGGTCGTCCAGGCTACGAAAACCCCCAAACCAACCAGCGGTTCGGTTCAGGCCTCCAGCTCTGTTGCCACGGGGCAGAAACGTCTTGCGCACCAACGGGAGGCTCTTTGCCACGTCACACGCTCAACACCTGGCGGAGCCGTTGCAGCTCACCTTAAGCCTGCCCGGAAGTATATTCTGCTTTCCACGGCGGCCGGTTTGCTGAGTCGGTTTCTTCCTGTTTTCCAGGCTTCTCTGACGCTTCCGGCAGATCCGAAGAGGCCCCAAGTCCTGACCTCCACGCTGGGGCGGGCTGGTGAGCCTCAGGCAGAGAGGCAGGCGGAGCACACGCTCGCCACAGGTGAGGCCCGCACAGCTCCCCGAGCAGAGGCAGCTGCGTGGGGCCCCCTCCCCTCGCGCCGTGGCTCCCCAGACCGCCGCCTGGAAGTGGCTCTGGGGCGAGCGCAGCCTCACACCCGCCACGCTTGCCCCCCAGATGTCTGCGCCTCTTGCCACAAGGCCCTTGCCCCGTGGGCCCCCACGCTGGACGCCATGAACAAGCAGTACCACGCGGGCTGCTTCGCGTGCCGCTCCTGCCACTGCGCCCTGGCAGGGCAGCGCTACTACCAGCAGGAGGGCCGGCCGCTCTGCGCGCCCTGCTACCAGGTGGGTGCCTTCGCCGGCGGCCGTGCCCTGCCTCCGGGCTGCGGGTCCCGGCACAGCCCCTGGGTGGGCCGCAGCCCGCGGCCGCCTCGGTCCCCTCAGACGGGGTGAGGGCTGGCCCTGGGCGGGGGTGCCGCAGAACCGCCACCCAGAATGGAAGAGCCCCCCCCCCCCCACTGCCTGCTCTCTCCTCCCGCCCGGCTGCAGAACACGTTGGAGAAGTGTGGGGCTTGCCGGGACCTGATCACGGATCAGATTGTGTGGGCCATGGGCCACGGGTACCACCCAGAGTGCTTCACCTGTGCGGCATGTGGCCGCGCGATGGGGGACGAGACCTTCGCGGTGGGCGATGACCACGAAGTGCTTTGCCTGGACGACTTTTACAGGTGCGGCCGCCGGTGCTGGGCACGCCTGGGGGGCATTGGGAGTGGAGGTTCTGCTCCCTGGACCCATAAGCTGCTGCTTGGGGCTGGGGGAGGTTGCATCAAACAGGACGAAGGAACAGCATTCAGCTGCATTAGAAACTCACTGAGAAGGCCCTTTGCGTGAAGAGGGAAAAACCGAGGGAGGGGAGAAACCTACCAAAATGTTGGCTCTCTCTCAAAAGCATTCAGAGAATTTTTCAAAAGCCTGCCCCTTAATGCAAAACTTGCGTCCTGAGCTGGTGGCCATCATCTGCCTGCCCGTCCGTCTTTCAGGAAGTTTGCTTCCGTGTGTGGTGCCTGTGAGAAGCCCATCATTCCGAGCCACGGCAGGGACTCCTACAAGATTGAGTGCATGGGCAGGAGCTTCCATGAGGACTGCTACCGCTGCGAGGTACGTGGAGGGAGGGCCTGGTCTAGGAGCACTGCGCTCGCCTCGCTTCTCCCTCACCTGCGGAGTTGCCCCCCCTCCCAAAATCTGTCGCGGCTGAATCGCTTTTCCAGATACGCGCAGGATCCCTGCTTGAGCATAGGATGCTAAAAAAGGGACAGTTTTGCTGCAGACTTTGCGGGTCCCCTTCCTCCTCTCTCTGCCGGCTTACGCAGACACGGGATCGCAAGGCTCGGTTTACTGTTGACCGAGCACTGAGCATAAAAAAGCAAAACTGAACGGGAGTGAAGCCAAGTTCGAAAGACCCACACGTGAAGTGCGTGCCCTTCAGGTGCATTTCCTGGTTTTAAGAAACGGCTTTTTAAGCAGAGTAAGCAAGTACAAGTTCTCGCAAGGCATGGAGCATCTGCTCGGGGGGCTTTACGCTGCCCCACTGGCCGGTGCCGCCATCTCCGCCTCCTCAGGAGGGCCTCTCTCAAGGATGCCAAACCTCTAACCTGCGAGAAAATTCCTACCTTGACCAGGCTATCCAATGGTTCCGTCTTTATGGTCTTAATTTAGATTTATGTACCGCGTACCCTTCAGAGCCGCTCTCGGAGGCGCCCGGCCACTTCCCTTCTGCCACCCTTTGCCTCATAACCAGCGGGCGGCTTCTAGCCTCTGTGCAGCTGCCCCATTCTCAGCTGCTGAATGGCCTCTGGGAACGCTCAGCTCCGGGCAGGAAGAGCTGAATGACCTCAGCAGCTGCTCTTTGAATTTGGGACCCGCCCCTGCTGCTCCCCGACTTGCCTGTCGCTGGAATTCAGCCCTCCGGTTGCAAGAGTTTCCGTGCACTGGCACGGACAACGCGAGCGGCCCGTTCTTGACAGCACCCTGGGTCCCACCGCCTTACTGTTGGTTTCCTTTGTGCTACAGAGATGCCAGGTGCTGCTGTCGCCCGAGCCCACAGAGGACGGCTGCTACCCTCTGGGCCACCACCTCCTCTGCAAGTCCTGCCACATCCGAGAGACGAAGTGACCATCCTGCCGAGGAGCGAGTCTTTCTGGGCGGTGTGTTTACACTGGCAACCTGCCGTCTCTCCCTCCTGCTTCCATTTTCTCTTTGAGTCTTCGTATAAACATGTATTTCTGTGTTGAGGTTTAATCTGGGGACTGAGCGAAGCGGCCCAGGGACTGACTGGTGGGACGCGGGTCAGGCATTTCCCCATTGCTGCTTGCGGGGCGTTCCTGGCATTGACACGCTGCACGGCCTGGGGGGGGGGCTGCCCGGTCTAGGGGGCTTGTGGGAGCCCTCTTCTGCCCCCGGGGAGGCAGGCGCGAGCAGAGCGGCGGCCGGGCACCATCTGCAGGCTGGGCTCACTCCGTAGGCTGCCAGCTGCTTTCCACACTCCGGGGCTGCCCGAGCAAGAGCATCGCATCCTCCTCCGAGCCTGGCCAGGATCTTGCGGGACTCCCCCACCCTCCTCCTCGCAGCCTTTCCTGATGACCTGCGTGTGGCAGGTTGAGAAGTCACTGTGAGAATCGTAGCGTGAGAGGGTAACGCAGGCGAGTACAGGAAATGACTGGGAGTTTTCTGGGTGAAGCGCTACAAGTTTCTGGTTGACTTTCTCTGCTGTGTAGAACAGATGAGACAATAAGGGAAGGAAACGGGGACCCGAGAGCATTTCAGCCGGAACACGTCTTCAGATGCATTAGCTCTGATCTCTGGCGGGGTAATTTCCAGCACCCGAATTCAGTGACCGGCTCAAACGTGAAGTCGCGGCGAGGATGTGGAAGCTCTGGGGCACGCCTGGGGTGCCCGAGGCCAAGCAGCCCTGGATCAAGGATGGAGGGGCCTTCAGGTGCCTGGTGGGATGCCAGAACTGAGCCGGGGCGTCAGCTGCTTGGTTTTTTCATTTGGAAATTAAGCATGAATTACACAAGTGCCCCATCCCTTTGAGCGCCTTGAACGGGGAAATTGTGACTTGAACGCTTGCGCCAGGCCTTGTACGCGCCGTGCCCCTGGGTGCCTGGAAGGCACAGGCTGGCGCTTGCTTGAACAGAAAAGGCCCTGCAGCCCCCCAGAAGTGGCCGCAGCACCCCACTTGTTCCTGTCCGGGCAGGCACAGCAGCATGGCCTGAGCGCCCCGGGCGTGTGCCTCTCAGGCCACCAGGGGGCAGCACCGAGCCACCTTCCCACTGCAATCGCTGGCGGGGTGGGGGGGAACCTTTATGCACTTGCAGCTCCCGTCTGTGAGACATCGGGTGCCACATAGGCTGAGTGGGGCAGCGCAGGGTGCGGGCACCGTTGTGGGAGTGTAGGCACTCGCCCTTGGGGGCTCCCCCCCAGCACACCTCTACGGGGACCTTTCCGGGGGTTTCTCCTCCCAAAACTGCATGTCCAGAGAGAGCCCCCCGAAACAGGGCCAAGGGGCTGGTGGCCCGTTGTACTGCCTTAAGTAGATGTGCTTGAAATCCAACAAAGGCTTCTCTCCGTGTGGGATTCTGCCTGTTTTGGGCAGTGGTGTTGGAGGCTGTGTGAGAGCTGTCGTGGGAGCAGCTGCTTGATAAATGCGTTGTGCGTATGGAGGAGGCAGGCAGGCAGGCCTGGCTGCAGGGGATCCCCGGCCTGCTGGGGGCTCCGGGGTCGGAGGGGGCCCTGAGGGGACTTCGTGCAGGTGGGCAGGGAGGTGGCGGACCCAGCGCCACAGGCCGTGGCAGCTGGGCCAGCCCCGCAGGGGATTGCTTTACAGTGTGGGGGCAAACCTCCTTTGGTCTGTTGCGCTCTGACGTGGCTCTTGGGGGCAGCCTCACGCTGGTGGGGGGGCCAGAAGATGGAAAGATGAGCACGTCCCACGGCCACAACCTCAGCCTGAGGAGAGGCATTTCTTTGTAGAATAGGAGCAGGGAGAGGCTGCATGGAAACAGATGCGCCTGCAGTCGATTCTGCCACGGTTCAGAGGCGGAAGCTGCTCCGCTGGGGGCGATCCCGCCAAAAGCCAATGCTGCAAAGAGGCTAAGCATCTTTCCACGGTGCTGGGACTCCTTGGTGCACCACCAGGAGCTCTGGCAGGTCCCCCATAGGGAGCATCTCCCCCATGGGGCTGGCAGCCCCTTCCGTGCCCGTGGATTTGCCGGGCCCATCGGAGCCACCCCAGGGATCGTGTGCATCACCAGAAGGCCCGGCCCGCCCGGTGGGGGTGCACGCGGCACGCGCCGCTTTGGGGTGGCCCCTGCTCCTGCACCCCCCACCCGTTAGCCAGAGTGTCTCCCGCCCGGCAGCTCGCTTGGCTTTGTGTTGCGTTTTCCGTGTTGTGCAAAGCATAGGTGTGCTGGCTTGGATTTCAACTTGATGCTGGCCGCCCCCCCCCCCCCCCGGAGGTGCACGATGGAGAAAGGCGGGCTTGCATTTCCGGGCTGGGACCCGTGAGCGGAGCCTGTCCAGCGGCTGCCGGGCGCCTCTCCGTACTCCCGGCCAGCGGAGGCCGCGCGTTTCCAGGGCGCCCCGCGCCCGGCCGCGTTTCTCGGGAGCGCCGAGCGAGCCGCGGCCTCCGGCGAGCGGGGCCGAGCCCGCCGAGCAGGGCGGCTCCCGGGGGGGCCGAGCGCCACAGCGCGGGCCCGAGGCCGCTCCGGGAACTGCAGCGCCGCGGCCGGGCTCTGGCCATAAAATGGCCGCCCGGCGAGGCAGAGGCCACAAAATGGCGCCCGCGGAGAGGGAAGGCGGGGGCGACCTCCGCCGCCCGCGCCTCCTTGGGGCGCCCCGAGCCGGGCGGCGCGTCCGAGCGGCTCGGCGGCGCCGCGATCTCCGCCCCGTCTGTCGCCGCCGCCGCCGCGGCCCCATCCCGAGCGCGTGTCTCGGGCCGAGGCGTCCCTGCTCGGCAAGCCGCGCCCCCGGCAGGCCCGCCCCGGAAGGTGCCCGGGGAGCTGCGGCCCCGGCCTTGCTCCCGGCTCGGCGCCTCCCTCGCGCAGAGGCCCCGCCGCGCGTGATCTGGGCGCCGCGGCCTCCCGCGGCCCGTGCTTGATGGGCGGAGGGGCCGAGGCCCCCGGGTCCGCCCTGCGCCGCTCCCGTTGCGCGGCTCGTTAACGGGAGGCGGGGGGAGGGGAGAGCCGGGTTCCCCGCCCCGCCGCCCGCGGCTCCAGAAGCTTCGGCGCGGGCGGCGCCCGCGGGCGCCCGTTGCAGAGGCGCTGCCGCAGTGCGGGGCGGCGGGCGCAGGTCGGCCTTGCCCGGTGGCGCCGCGCTTTTCCCGGGAAGGCCTGCAGCCGAGCAGCGCGGCCGGGGCGCCGGGACGGGCTCGGCCCCTCAGGCTGGAGGTTGGAAATCGTGGTTCCTTTCGCACGAGGCTCTCGCTGAACACGTTTCTCTGGAGGCCCCTTGGCAGCGTGGAGCCGCTGTTAAGTGAACAAGCCCTAATTGCAGCTGCACTTGACTTTCCAGTTTGCAACTCCCCGCGTTTTATTTATTTGATTTATATCCTGCCTCTTCTCTGTAGGGGAATGGGCTAGAAAAGCTCATAAGAACTCGAGGCTGCTGCTGCTGCTCTTATCCCCACAACAACAACCCTGAGAGGTAGGGCGGGCCAAGAGCCTGTGACTGGCCCAGCGCCACCCAGCTGGCCCCATGGCCAGGCCGGGCTAGAGCCCAGGGTGCTGGGGGCCCCGTCTGCCCCCACCTCCACGCCGCTGCCCTGGCGCAATCCGCCTCTACACCGTGTGTGAAAGCGTCCTCATAGAAGGCGCGGCCAGTGGGGAGAGCTCCCTGGCCCTCGCTAGCCCTTTGCTCTGGGAGGCAGCGCCTGTGCGTGGGGCAGGGAGTTTTTCCTGCCTGACTGGCCCCACGCATTAGGGATCTGGGGAAATGGGGCCCTGGCAGCCGCTGCCGTCCAGAGGATGTCCCCGGCATCGGTCTCCCGGTCCCGAGAGCGGTGGTTTGGCATTTGGATGTGTGTGACGGACTGTCGTGCGGAAGGATGGGTTAAGCAAGTGGTAGCCGATGGCCTCCATCTTGGTGCCTGGCGATGTCCGCAGGGGAAGGGGCTGGCAGAGGCGTGGCAGCCCCTCCTGGTCGGTGGGACCAGCGGTGTCCATCTTGCGCCCTTGGCGGGTGGCGGAAATATGCTCCTGGTAGTAGTTCGGAACAAAGAGGCTTAAGACCAGATTCCTTGCAACATATTTCCACTTGCTCAGTGCGCCTTCTGCTTCCTCCAGCAGACAGACATCAAAGCATCTAACCGCTTCATAAAATAGAAATCCTAGTGATGAATGGCCTCAAACAGTTCCTAGACACAGCCTTTCCTAAAAGTTGTTCAGATAGGTTTGTGTGTGAGAGTGGGCAAAGGAATCCAAACGGCTGGATTGGGACCGTCCCTTCCCTCTCCGAGGCCCTTCCTGTCTTTGGTGTAGGAGCCCCGCAAGGCTGCCTTTTTCCCCATGGCCCCGTCCCTGTCCGCACCGCCAGAGGACCGGCTCTGTGGGAAGCGGGGCAGCCAGCATGCGAAGCGCCCGCTCAGCGGTGGCATGCCAGGTGTGCAGCACCTTCCCGGCCGTCCTCTCTGCCCTGCCCCTTGGAGGGCACCGCGCAGCCTTGTCATTTCCTGAAAAAACCCACCATCGCTTGCGCTCCATCCAGTACAAGAGGGGGCACGTTCAGCGTGTTCCTTTCCTCCTGCCTGCAGCCTCTTCACAGCACATTTCATGCACTTTGAGAGCTGAGGAACAGCTCATTCTCCGTAAGCGGCGCTGGTTTTTTTCAGGAAATTACTTGCTTTAGCAATGCTGCTTCCTCAGTTCCAGTGCTCCTATCCTAAACATGAAGGGAAGAGGGGACATTACAACGTGAACCTGGTGCTGTTCCTAGATTTCTGTTGTTATGATGTGCTGTCTAGGCGTTTCTGACTTAAGGTGACCCCAAAAAGGAAAGCCCCCCAGAATTGCCTATCCACGACAGCCCTGCTTAGTTCTTCTGGGCTGAAGGCTGTGGCTTCCTTGACGTAGTCCATCCACCGCGTATTTGGTCTTTTCCTCTGCCTCTCCCCCAAGTGGGAGGGCCTTCTCCAGGGAGCTTTGCCCATTCTTCTTAGATTTAGCTGTGCGTTTTAAGTCTCCTTTCTCGGAGTCCTGCAGCAACAACACGACCAGCTGGAAAATGACAGAACTGCACAGAAGCCCGTTTCTACCCAAACCCTGCCAGAATTCCCGTGCTTGCTCTGTTTTCCCCCGGAAGAGAAAGGCCTTAGGAACGCAGGCAGAAAATCGCCATGACACCAGGGAAATGAATTGAGTTCTGTGGCGCGGACTTGCTGAAGCCACGGCCTGCTTCGCTGGGTACAGAAAGCACAAGGGTGGCACTCTTGCAACGCTTGCCCTGATTTTCCCACTGCTCAGGAAAACAGGATGCGGCGTTTCCTTCCAGGCAGCTGCAACCCCTGCGGGCAGGCGATGGGAAAGGGAGGCGAGGCAGCGGCTGGGAGGAGGGCCCCTTAGGCGCTTCGGCAGGGCCAGCACCGGGATGAGCAGCGGTTCCGCCCTCGCCAGAGCCCGCTGGTGCCTTTAGCCTGCCCCGTGCCCCTCGCCGGCAAGGGCCGAGCTGCCAGGAGCTGGCTTGTACCAGCCCCGCGAGGCATCCCTGGGCCACTGGGCCGCCCCCGCTAATTGCACCCTCGGGCCGCCCGTGCCTGGGAATGCTGTTCTCCGCACTGCCCCTTTGCGGCAGGGAAAGAGGGCTGGGTTCCCATCTGGCTGGGAGCTCGGCAGTGATGTGGCGCTGCAGCTCCGTTCATGCATTATTGCCCACCGTTGGGATGTCAGCCGTGGTAATTAACTTTCCCCGCACCAGCATCTTGATGTGCTGGGAGAGGCCGTCTTTGCCGCCTGCTTCCTGCCCTGCCGTAATTGGCGCAGCTGCCAGAACTTCATTTCTAAACCAAGAAGGGCCAGGAGTCTCAGTCCTGAGCTGGATGCCCATATCATTTTGTGGCTGTTCTGAGTGAAGAAAAGCCACTTTGTCCATGCTCAGAGGCCATATATTAGTATTACAGTAATAAGGCTACCTTCTGTGCAGCTGCCCATTTAATAAACCACTCCCTGTAAATGGTATCTATTTAATCTTGATTTGTAGTTGTTTATGGTTCATTTATTCAGAATACAGATTTGATTCCATAAAGAAGAGTTTTTTTAATTTACATTTATGCCTTGTCATTTTTACAAACTGTCCATTGAGCTTTGACTGTTGAGAGGTACAGAAATTTAATGAAGGAAAGAATGTTAGCTAGTGGCAGGAAAAACAATAAAGAATCTTATGACACCAAACTAACACATGTAAGGAACCATCACATGCATGTTTAGATGGATGAAATCCCACAGCTCTGAGTGTTCGGCCAGCTGGGAGTTGTGGGGCCCTCTTTCTCTCTCTGCCTAGATGTATAAGATGGTGCCGATCTTCGGGTGAGCTTCCCCAGGCTAGAGGCAAAACCCAGCCAGCCCGAAACGGCCTTTGCTGCACTGTGGGCTTGTAATGAACATTTGGTCAGGGAGGGAAGCGAGCAAGAAGTGGCAGGAAGCGGGTCTCCCTCCGTGCCCGCCCCCCCGTTGGGCAGGCATCACCCACGAGGCGGGGGCCAGCGGGGCAGTGCCGAAACGCGAGGCGGGTGGGCGCTTCCTGCCGGCCCATGACCTGCGGGGCATGCAGGAGGGGGCGGGCTGGTGTGGGGCCCTTCAGCCTGCCCTCGCTCTGCGGCAGCCCCTCCCTCACCGCCTTCCTTGGGAGAGGCCTCCGTGGGGTCTGGGCAGGGGGACCCTGACCCCGCAGGAGGGAGACTGCCCAAACGGCCCCATGACCCACATAGGAATGTGGGGAGGACCCTGCCGGGCCAGGCCAGAGGCCCCCCCACCCAGGAGGAGTTGGCACCAGTCCCGGGATCGTGCCTGGCTGCTCAGGTGCAGGGCTTCTCCCGAGATGCGCCAGCCCGTCCAGCCTGGTGCAGTGCCAAGCTCCTTGCAGGCTGTTCCACCAAGGAGGTCCTGGGGTTTGCAAAGCGTTCTGGGGCACACTTGGGGTGGGTGGGGGAGCAGAGGCCAGGCCCGAGGGGCTTCCTCATTGCACAGTTCGCAATTGTGAACAGAGCAATCCTTGAATACAGACGTGGGAAGTTCCCAAGTCCAAGATTTTGTCCCCTGCACACCTGGAAGCAAGACGCGCTCGCTGGATGCCAGGCAACATACCTGAATAGACGTAGAATTTGAGGTGATGGGTCATACCCATGCCATTCTTATTGTAAGAGCTGCAGTGCTGCAGACAGCTTGGGGAAGTTTTCTGTTTGGAAAGGTGGTTTAGAAATATTTTAAATAAATAAAAACCTGTATCTGCATGAAGTTACATCGGAGAAAAACAGTTCTGTAGCAAGAAAAGGGAAGGACAGCACCATAAAAGAAACAACCATTGTTCATCTTAAAGGCCTTAACATACCCTATTGACTGCAAAAATGTGCCATTTCTCCAGTCAATCAAGATGTTTCATCATTATTAATCTAAATGATTAATTGCATTCAGCCTAGCATGCCTAGTTATATTCCCCCCCCCCAGCAGCAGCAGCAGCAGCAGCAGCAGCAGCAGCAGCAGCAGAATAGTTAATTTGGCTGTCTGAGAAAAACAAGACAATTGTAAGCATGCAGGACTTGGAAGAGCCGGGTTCAGATCCCCACGTGAGGCTGCCTGGGTCACCTCGGGCCTGTCCAAGCCTCCCTCACAGGGCCTTTGAGGGGATGAACGGGGTGGCCCCAATCAGGAAAGCACCCTCTGGAGATCGTGTCGGATACATGAAGCATCAATACAGGAAACAACAATAAGTGAAAATGCAGCATCGGGTTTGGAGAGCCCTCTGGCCCTGCCTGCATTGCACCCATTCCTCACTATTTTCAATGCAAGCCCCTCGAGGGCAGAGACCCATCCTCTCATTCACTGATTGATGGCACTCTGCGTCCTTGTCCCCTTTTCATGGATGCTTTGACTTAAGGATGCCCACGTCCCGGTGGCCACCTTTGGGCCCCAAAGTCGTGCTTGCAAGGGAGATAAAAGATCGAGGCCCGCGAACGGATTGGCAAGCTCGGGAACACGCGGCTCGGACGGGCTGCCTTCCCATGTGAGCCGAAGCCTGCAATAGGGACGGCGGTTTTACAGGCGGGCATTTGCTGTGCGGATTTACTTGAGGTGATTCCCCCCCCCAACATCTCTCTGTGCGGTTTCATTGCGCGTTGCGTTTCTGTGCAGAACCCCCACGGTTAGTGTGGCGCGTCTTTTGAGGGAGCTCGGCCCTTCAGGACGGCCTCTGGCAATCATGTCTGCGGGCACATTCGCTGGCTCTGCGGCGAACATTTCCAGACGTGCAGCTGCCGGGCAGCGCTGCTCTTTGGGGCCGCGCGTCGTGCGCCCGCCTTCGGCTCCCCGGCCCTTCTGCCTCGGCGCTCGGCCGCCATCTTTGTCCCCGCCAGGGCGCGGGGGGGGGAGCGGGAGAGTGCAGGGAACGGCGTCCTGCGCACGCGCGATGGCCTCCAAGCGGCGTATTAGGGACAGCGGGGTTCTCTCCCCTCCCCCCACGCACGCCCTCCTCCCTCCGCTTTGCAGCCGCCACCAATGCTGCAGGGCGCATGCGCCCGCTGATTTCCTTCACGCCCCCCCCCTCCACTGTTCTCCCCGTTTTCTCATTCGGAGGCTGCTGCCGCTGCCGCGCGCGCACGCGCGCGCTCGCACCTATCCCGCCCCGGCCCGACCGCCGTCCAATGAGGTACGAGCCTTCCGTGCGCGAGGCGCCGCCGCTGCGGGTGCGCATGCGTGCGCGGGAGAGCCAGAGGGCGAGCGCCCGCCACTCAGAGAGAGCGCGACGCCGCCGCTGCGCCGCGGCTGAGGAGACATTGCGAAGAAGCGCCGCGGAGCCGGAGCCGGAGGAAGGAGGAGCGGCGGCACCGGCACCGGCACCCCTGAGGAGGACGAGGCGGACGAGCAGCAGCCGCCGCTGAGGCAGCCGCCGGGGGACGAGGGCGGCCAGCGGGCCCGGTGGGATGGTGTCCCCCACCGGCGCCGCGGAGGGAGGAGGAGGCGGCGGCGGGGAAGGAGACGGAGCGGCGGCGGCGAGAGGCGGCCGGGCGCGCCGGAGGAGGAGAGCGGCAGCAACAGGCGGCGGCGGCGGCACCAGCGGCTTCTCCCTCTCGCGGCGCTGAGCCGAGCCAAGCCAGTCGGGCGGCGGCGGCGGCGGCGGCACCAGCGGCGGCGGCGGCGGTCGGAGCGAGAGGAGCAACAGCAGCCGGAGGAGCAGCAGCAGCAGCAGCCGCCGCCGAGGCCGGAGCCCCCTTCGCCCTTCCCTCTCCCCACCCCCTCGCCCAGCAGCAGCATGGTCCGGGAGACCAGGCACCTCTGGGTGGGCAACTTGCCGGAGAACGTCCGCGAGGAGAAGATCATCGAGCACTTCAAGCGGTGAGTCGGGGGAGGCGGGCAGGCCCCTCGCGCGCCCCGCGCCGCACGCGCCCCCCCCGGCCGCCGTTCTGCCCCGCGGCCTTTGTGCCTCCCGCCGAAGGGTCGGGAGGGCCGGCCCTTTCTTGGCCGGGGCACATGCAGGACAGTGGCGCAGTTGGCCCCACGGCCAGGCCCCCAGCCGCGCGCGCGGGTGGCGGGTGGGGGTGGGGGTGGGGGGAGCTGTGTCCTACAGTGGCAAATGGGAGGGGGGCGAAGGAGGGGTCCTCCTTTGGTGGGAAGTGGGGAGAAGTGGTGCGGCTTCGCAATGAGTGCAGGCAAGGAAAGGGTCTTGGGAGAAGTAATGGGTGGAGGTGGAGGAGAAGGAGATATTTTACTTACTACCCTCGTTGCTAAAAATGTCATATCCTGCCTAGCTATAAATAGGCTCATCGTGGTGTGATGGAGGGCTACCTCTCCAAGAGGTGGGGAGGGGGGGAGGTAGAAGCTCTCTTGGCTTCCAGCAATGAGTCGAAATACAATGCGAATGGAGGCCCACCGTGTGTTCCTTGGATAAGTAGCGGAGGAAATAACACTGTCAAGGAGAGGGGAAATCAAACCCAGCATCTGAAAGCTGCAGGGAGCGGTGGGGGAAGGTGAGACAGTGAGAAGGGAATTCCAAGCTGGGAGCTGGGGGTGGTTGCGGAGTGGAGTGGAGCAGTGATTCCATTCCAGTGATGATGAAGGGCAATTTTGTGAGGGAGTAAACAAACAAAGCCTGGGTCGAGCAGAGTGGCTGCATCCACATTTCAAATCAGGGTTGCCCTTTCCCCGGGGCAATTGTGTGGCACCCTCAGGATGCATAGGGAGAAGCAGAAATGGGCCCCCCAGCACACACACATTCTTGTGGTGCAGCTTCCAGGAGGGTGACAACTGCTTCTTCCAGGAGTTAGGTAAAAATGGAGAGAAAAGTGGGGAGGGAGTGTTCATGTGAATGAGGGGTGCTGCTTGGGTGGGGGTGACACACAAAGGAAGAGCAGGATGCAGGAGGAAAGAAACCATTTCCCCAAAGGCTGCTGTGTGTGTAATAGGAGAGAACTGAAGAGCAGACCTGGAACTGAGGACGGTTTGAAGAAGTCTTTTCAGGATCTGGGCCACAGGAGGCCGATGTTTCTGGGCAGATCTGTTTCTGAGCATGCCTATTCCTGGGACCTGACAGCATGGAACATGCCATGGATTTCTGAAAGAAGAAAGATGAGGGATGCTGCTCTTGGAGGAGAAACAGTGCACACGAAGCGATTAAGCATCTCCCCCTGCACTTGGGAGTTGTAGAAATATGGAAGACCTTCAGAAAAGGAGCTGCAGACTGGCAGGGCTAAAGATCGCTCGAGGAGCAGAGGGGCAGGCGAAGAGCAAGGGCATGGCAAATGCCACCAGCTCCGTGGAGTGGATTTTTCTGAGGGCAAGCTGTGGTGGAAACAGCTGTTACTGGGAGAGACGTGCTAATTCCTCCTTTCCATATTTTCTAATCAACCCTGTCTGCTGCTGGAATCAAGGATTTTTACCTTTTAGGTGTATCCTAGCCACAGAGTGGATAAACTCCTGACCTTGTAGGTGCAAACAAGGGATTTATGTCTATTTTTGTGATTTTTTCCTCCTTTCCTTAAAATAATGGATTTATGAAGAAAGTAATGGGAACTTGAAAATTCAAGCATAACTCCAAGTGAATAGAAACTGAAATCCCATTTGAATCCAACTTTCTTGGGCTCCCTCACCATGGAATAGATTTTTGAGATTGCTAATGCTGAAGCCTTGATTGGTATTGTTATTTGCATTTATATTTTTCTTGTTTCGTTAGGGCCAGTGAAGCAAAATATTGTGTGCGTCTCCAACTGGCAAGAAATCTTAACTGTAATGTTTTTCTCTTCTGACTTAGTGGCAACAACCCCTGTGCATGTAGGGTTTTTGTGTCTGTCTCTGTGAGGGTTGAGAAATGGTTCTAGGAACGGATGCTATGTCATGGCGTTCTAGAAGAAAAGTGGTGTGCAGAATTCTAGGCAAGGATCTGGTTAGCTAAAGTTGCTTCCCGTTTGAGGCCCCAAAAAGGCTTGTAACTTTCCTTGTGATTTTCTTGCTACTGTTTAGGGTAGGGGAATTATGGAGCATACCTAATGAGTCACCATGGGAAAAATAGACTCGGTTGCTACCTCCTGGGGAGGAACAGGCTTGGCTGGTGAAGCAGGGAGGGGAGCTGCTCTGCTTCATTAAATGCAAGCTGTTGGGCTGCTTGGCCCTTGCTGGTTGCTCAGGGCAGATTCTGAGCTTGTACCGCGGGTGTTTCATTAGTACTATTGCACTAGGAGGGATGCTTCCCTCTCATCTCCTCCCCTAATACTGTGGGTTGTAGCTGGGGGGGCCGGGGGGGGGAACAAGCAGCTTGCTTTAAGCTTGGTACAGCTCTCGTGGATAAAGGGCATTCTTTTTTCTTTGGCAGTTAATACTCTGTAGAGGAGAAAATAGGAGGTTGAATGTGTTGCTAGTCCCATATGAAAAACCAAGCATGTGTAGGAGCTTTGAAAGTGTTCCTTCCTCTTTCTTTCTTTCTTTCTTTCTTTCTTTCTTTCTTTCTTTCTTTCTTTCTTTCTTTCTTTCTTCATGGTATTACTCTGGTACATTTTTTGTGTCAGTTTCAGTGCTCAAGACAAGAAAACACGCATGCACATGAAAGTGCATTACAGCATTTGCTGTGGCTGGGAGAATAGCTTGTCCCCTGGCAACGCTGCTTGTTCCGAGGGGCATTTGTGTGTGTGTGTGTGAGAGAGAGAGAGAGAGAGAGAGAGAGAGAGAGTGCACATGCTCTTATACTCCGGTGGGAAGGGAGAGATTCCTTTTCCAAGAGGTGTATGGTGCAGTGGTTTGGCTGGTGTGAATGCCTTTCTAAAATGGCGGCTAGGACCAGTTTATGTAGCAAAGAACAGAGCTGCTCACAGGGAGGTGGGGGAGCTTTCTACAGCAGGCAGCGGCAGGGAGAGAGCGAGCTGTGGCGTAACAGGAGACTTCATCCAGCTCCCTTGTTGCAGTGGCCTTAACTGCAGCGCTTCCTCCAGAATGTGCAAAGGGAAAGGCTTGCTCCGAAAAGAGCAGCTCTTCGGCGGTGGTGCTTCGTGCACAGGGGATATCCTCTTTCCGACAGCCTCTTCTGGTTTTGAGGGGGCCAAGTACAGTGTTTTTCTCAAATCGGTTAAGCATAGTCAGGTAACAAATAGTATGAAATAGAGTGGGGTACAGAGAAGCTTAAAAGTGGAACCCAAACAGCCTAAAATCTAAAGACAAGAAAGCACTAATTGCTTCAACCGAGGAAAAATCCAGCCAGCCAGATTTTGGTAGCTGTTACATAAAACTGAAGTGTGTTTGTGTGTGTGTGGGGGGAGCTGACTTGTTTTACCCTTTAGAAATAGTCAGTTGCCTTGTGCTAGAAATACTAATGAGTGTAAAATACGTACAAAATTAAAAGGCTTTTCTGTTGAGTTAATCATTTTAATTGCAGGGTGGTAATTGAATAGGTTCGGGGTTGTTTATTGTTGGACTTCCTGGGTTTCTGCACCAAAATGATTGAAGGATTCCTCAAGTGAGGATCAAAGCTCCCTTTCCAGTGCGTTTCCCTTGCCCTGGTTCCACAGAGCATTTTTAATGCTGGTCAAAGTTGCCATGGTGCGGTTGCTTAGTGATAGATCAGGAAAATGGAAGGATCTGAATTAATTGGCTCTCTTTCATCTCTCTGAATGTGACATCAGTTTAAGCATAGATCTTGAAATTTGTCTCATTCGTGTGCGTGCTCGTGTGGCTAGATTTAAACGGCTGATTGATCTGCCTGTCCTGATTAGGATTTCTTTGGGGGAGGCCACCCATAAATATTCAGTATATTCTGGAATTAACGCAGTGGCCACATATGCAAAACCATTTTCCATTTGCTTGTACTCACTTGGATAACAAGAGTCACTTAACTATCAGAAATCGGTTGAATTAAACTTTGGCTGACAGGAGGCCATTGTACGTACTGTAAGCTCACAATGGAGCAGCGCTTCCTTTGTATGCCCCGGGACCGGGAGGGGGAGGCGGTGCGGGGCAGTTGCATCGCTGTCCTTGCTTGCGTCGCATGGCCGAGAGGCGCGCCTGTATGTGAAGGGCAGCTCCCCCCGCAGTCGCCTGTACAGTGTAAGGTTTAATTATTGGAAAAGGCATCGTTTGGGGGAAGGGGGAATCCTTTCCGGATTTTGCTGGTCTCAGTGGCACAGAGTTCCCACCCATCCCCCAGCCTGTGAATAGGACGAGGAAGAAGAAGGCGCAGAGGGCCCGCCTGCCTGCCTGCCTGCCTGCGGAAGCAGCAGCTGCCATTCTGTAGCAAAGCTGCAGAGCAAGGGAGCTCCCTCTGGCTCGCCGTTCCAGTGCAAGACATAAATGGCAAGCGCGGCCAAATCACAGCTTCCAAATTAACACACCCATGTTAATTCTAGTTCTTTCAGTTGATGCTGATGAAACATTTCAGTAGGAAAGAATGCACTGAAACAGGTTCGTTGCTTACGTGTTTCCGTATTCTAAATAAAATACATTTAGAGGTGGCATGCTTGGAAGAGGCAAAATGAAGTGGTTCCGTATCAGGGACATGCACAAAATCTTATAAAGGGTGTGTAGAGAAGACGGGAAGCTTGAAGGACACATTATCTGCATTAGGTAATACCTTATAAAATGCCAGAGAGTCCTGAGCGAGTCCCTTGAATTTTCCTCATCCTGCTTGGATGATAAACAGAACAAGAAGAACGCATTTTATTTGGCTCTGTGCTTCTGTGTTTATGGAAATTGGAGTTCTCCCCAAATCACATGTAAGAAGTGAGCTTCCCCAATATGCCTTGCCTGCTCTTAACTGAATGTGAACCTTCTTAGAAAAAGTCCCTGGAAGGAAATATGTGTTCAAAGATACTATTTCACTATTGTTTATACACGAACAAACAACTTACAGAGTTACA